CGTCCCTCAGACCGAAGCCCCTCGCCCGCCCCCGTGGGTCCCCCGCACCTCACACACGTGGGCCCGTCCCCAGCCTCCCGGCCGGCCAGGCTCTGGTCGCGCTTGCATCCTGCCCGGCCCGGGGTGTGGGCTCAGGAAACCGCCGGGTGGGCACAGGGCAGAGCAGGCAGAGAGGGCCAGCCAGCTGAGGACGTCAGGACAGCTTCCTCCCGAGCCTCTGGGGCTGGCTTGCAGAAGTGAGGGCGGGTTTCTAGGCTGCCGAGCTGCGAGAGCATTTCTGTGCCGTCCCACCCGTGGGGACCTGCTCCCACCGCCTGGGACACTGGCACCGTGGGTGAGGAGGGTGTGACCTTGGGAGGGGCCACTGGATAGCCCTGGAGGGTGGTCCCCGCCGCTCCCCAGGGTGGGGGTCAGAGCCCGTCCCCAGGAGATGGCCCCCTCTGTCCACACACACAGGGATGGGCCAGGACCCGTCCTGGACTAGGAAGGAGGCGGCCTCCCCTCCTAGGGGACCCTTGCGTCCCAGGACTTAGCTGGCCCGGTGCTGGGTCCACCCACGTGTCCCCCGTCTGTGCTGCTGGGGAGCCTGCTGAGAGGCGGCCCTGCCAGCCCGGTGGCCATGCTGCTCCGGGCCGTCCCTGCATCCCTGCCCCGTCCTTCCCCGTCCCGGGATACAGCCTGGGAGCCGCCAAGCCCACTGCACATCTGTGCCCTTGTAGAAGCAGCAGAGGAGAAGCCGGCTGCTCTCATTAGAGGGTTGATTAATGGCCCCAAACAGCCGTCCCCGTGAGCGGTCCATGCCCGACGTGGCCGAGACGGGCAGCTCTTGGCATCCCATCCATCGCGGGCCTGATGACGCAGGAGAGGTGAGCAGGAAGTGAGGGCAGAGCCAGGCTGACGGATGAGGCATCTGGCGCCGTGGGCCGTGTGGACGGCGGAGAGGCGCAACTTCAGGCTTTGACCTCAGCGGAGCAGGGGATCTCAGCTGAGTTTCAGAGGAACACGTCCTTGGGGCAGAAACTGCACGGGCTACTGAAGCCGCCCAGCTGGCCCCGTGGTCCAGCGGCTGTTGCCGTGCTGAGCCTGGCGTGGTCAGTCCATCCGGGCCAGGCAGTGGGGCCTCACCCTGACCCAGGAGAGGGGGCACAGGTGAGCATCAGAGGCGGCGAGAGGTGAGGTCGCAGGCCGGAGTCCCAGGTGGAAGGACGGGCCAGCGCGGCCCTTGTGGGTGGGTGGGCCAGACAGGAGCCAGAGGCACTGACTCCCTCCTGGCCTCAAGGCGGTCCTGCTCTGCTCCCCAGGCTGGCTCGGCCCCCGCGGGCAGAGGTCAGCGTGGGGTGGGGGGTGTGCGGTGGGGCTCCGCCAGCAGGACCCTGCGGACAGCCCGGCCTGGGGCCAGCCCTGCTCCTCTGGTCTGCACCAGGCTTCCTGCTCTGTAGACGGCGTGACGCGGTGACTTCTCGTCAGTCGTCACAGGATGACATGGGTCCCTCCGAGTATCTGGGAGCAGGCCTGATCTCCGCAACTGTTAGCTGCAACCAAGGTCAGGAGTTTCGGGAAAACTGCAGCTGCGGTGAGAGATGGAGTCTTACCCCAGACACAAGAACAGAGTCTTCACAGTAAGCCCTGAGAAGGCCTGGTGCTGGCATGTTTGGGTGGAAATAAGCTCCCCCGGTTTTCAGGAGGGGCCGGGTCATCATTTCATCTTGTCAGACCAGAGCTTGGAGATTTTCTTAGAGAGAAGTGACTGAGCACTCAGATGAGAGCCATGCTCTCAAAGTAAAATAAAGAGGGAGGAAGGGAAGGGCTGCCAAGTCACGCAGGGCACCTTCCCGGGACCCGGCACGGCTCTGCAGGAGCTGAGGTTCCGCCAAGGCTTGCCCACTGTGCAGGGCGGACGCACCTGCAAACCAGCCTATGTGGCGAGCAAGGGAATCAAGGACACTTCCTGCTCAGGAAATCCTTTCAGTGAAAATAAAACAGTAATTCCTATGTTGTTAGCGGCTTAATCCTCCAACTGAAACCAAAGGAGCCCATTTTCCATAACCAGATGTCCATCATCTCTGTTATCCTTCACACCATGCATCAGACACTATTTCTTTTTTTTAAGAAGATAGAAGTTATTTATCGGCTGAACCACATGGCATGCGGGATCTTAGTTCCCCAACCAGGGATTGAACCCGGGCCCCTGTGGTGAAAGCAGGGCACTCAGGTCTGGACCATCGGGGAAGCTTTAGACACTGTTTCTTAGAGAGCTGGGTCTATGTGTGCTGCTCACGACAGATGGAGTCTGGATGCGATGCGATGGTGGGGGGGCGGTGAATAATCACGCGGGCGTAGGAGGTGCCGACGGGTGCCCCGCCCGCCCCCCACCTCAGGGTCTGCCTGGAAGCATGGACGGGGAGGGAGGGCTGCACACGCCCGCCCCACAGTCTGTGTGGCCCCGTGCGCACACAGAGACCTGGGCTCCTCTGTCCCAACGCTGCTTGGCGGGTCAAGGCTGTCCCGCTGTGCACTTTCCACAAAGCCGTGGTGGCCAGACAGCGTGTGGCTGGGGGAGGTGAGGTGAGTGTGGTGGGCAGGATTAATTTCATGATTGCACACACACGCACACACACCCATGTGCACACACTCATATATACATGCACACACACTCATACACACGTGCACACACACGTGCACACTCATACATGCACACACGCATGCACACACGCATGCACGCGCACACGCATGCACACTCGCACACATGCACACACTCATACACACACACGCACATACACACATCCATGCACACACACGCACACACACTCATACACGTGCATGCACACGCACACACACACTCACACACACACACACTCGTGGAATCTACAGAAAGACGGGCCAGCGTCCCCAGTCTCTTCAGTCCCCCGGGGGCTCCTTGCTCATCGCCTGGACAGACCGCCTGATGGGCTGCAGAGTCTGGGTTCGGTTCCATCATCTCTGCTCGCGTCACAGCTCCATCCTCTAGAAACGGCACTTCCCTCCTCGACTCCTTGTGCGGAAAATTGGGCTAAGTGCCCGAGTCCTGTGCCTTCATCGCCAGTTTTTTGAGTAACAGGTCTATTCTCCGGTTTTCCCTTAAACCGACCAGCTTTGGGGGGGAGGTCATCGTGACATCCTGTATTTCACATATTTAATGTGTTTTAATGGAGTGTCACTATTCCCCCTGATATTCCAATGGCCCCATGTTTTCACCTGTCGACACCAGCATGCCAGCGCAGAGGCTTTGCTAACAATCTCTTTACTGAAAGCAGGGTTAAAGTATTTTCAGGCCTAGTCTCTTTCCCACTAAGAATGACCCATCACTTATTGTCTAGAAGTCACGTAAGAGTTCCTTCCATACAGTTCAGCTTCTAGGTTAACACATACATGGGTTCGTTTCTTTCATCTTATGCTTTTTAGAATTGTCTTTCATGTCAATTTACCTTTGCTTTGTGATCATGGAAAGTGGGTTGGGAAGATCCCTGGAGAAGGAAATAGCAACCCACTCCAGTATTCGTGCCTGGAGAACCCCATGGGCAGAGGGGCCAATACCCAGGGGTGCGGTCCACGGGGCCGCAGGGAGTTGGACACGCAGAGCCACTCAGCCGCAGCAGAAGGTGGAGCCCTCAGATGCTGGGCACGTTTCTCCGATACACGCTTGCCCGTGTCGTCTTGCCCACACAGGGAGCCAGCTCTACCCTCATTTACAGATGGGGAAACTGAGGCACAGGGCGGCCACGTATCCTGCTGGATGTCAGGAGGGGAGGGGAGGCTGACCTGGGGCAGCCAAGGCCTTGTCGGGGGTGGAGGGCAGCCCTGCTGGGCCTGGAGGTCCGAGGACTGAGGTTGGGGCACAGCTGCACCCCACCTGCGCCTCCACCCAGAGGAGAAGGCCAGCCGGGAAGGGGATGCACCCACCAAGGCGGGGTCTGGGCGGGGACACCTGGGGCTCCCGTGAGGACAGCCAGCAGCAGTCAGGTGAGTCCTCCTGGCCGCCGCCTCCTGGGATACATGGGGGAGCCCAGCCCTGAGCACAGGAGCCTGGGGGCCCCAGGGGGCTCATGAGCTGTGCTCTGCCCAGAGGGCCACAGGCCCCTCAGGACCGAGCCCCCCCGACCTCCCCACCCCGCCCCCTCCTCAGAGCAGAGGGCAGGATGCCTAGGGTCAGGGTTAGTCTTGCTGCCCTGCACCAGGTGTTGGGTATGCAGGGCCCAGTACCCAGGTGCTCAGTACCTAACACCCAATGCTCAGTACCCATACCCAGTACTCAGTGCCTAGTGCTCAATACCCAGTACCCAGTGATCAGTACTCATACCAGTGCTCAGTACCAGGTACCCAGTATCCAGTACTTAGCACCTACTGCTCAATATCCAATGCCAAGTGCTCAGCACTCAGATGCTCAGTACCTGTACCCAGTGCTCAGTACCCATACCCAGCACTCAGTACCTAGTGCTCAATACCCAGTACCCAGTGCTCATACTCAATGTTCAGTACTTAACACCAGGTACTAGTACCCCATGGCCAGTGCCTAATACCAGTGCCTGGATTGATCCTTACCCACCCTCATGGTCCATACTGCATGTCCAAACCTCATGTCAGGGTTTCCCTGGGTTCGTTTTGAGCCCCAGGTAGAATCAGTGCCAAATCTCAGAGGTGTGTGCAGTCTAAGAATCTGGGAACATGGGGAGAGCCTTGCGTGAGGACTGGACATGAGGCTCGCCCAGAGCATTGCTCAGAACCCGCAGGCCGGGCCCACGGCCTGGATGCGTCTGGCCTCCAGCATCCCCGCTGCCCAGAGCCCCCAGCTGCTGCCAGGCTCAGCAGAGCACGGTGCTCTAGCCTCTCAGGTGGCTCCAAGGGCCCTGCTTCTCTGTGCCTGGGGCTGGGACCGTGACTCTGTCTAGGCTGCAGGATTCTGGCGGACTTCCCCCAGGCTTCCCCCAAACCCTGACCTGACTGCCAGGCCATCCCCTCATGGCTCACAGCCCAGCCCACCCCCAAGCATCGGACAGCGGCAAGTCCTCCCGGGCTGGCACTGGTGGGGAGCTGCGGTCCTGCTCCCCAGCGGCCCAGGTGGAGTGAGCCAGCTGCTCTGGGCTCTCGGCCCCGTCACAGGCCAGATGCCCAAGCACAAGCGTCTCCCACGCAGTCAGGCAGAGACAGAGACCCTCCATGGCACCTGGGAAGGGGAGAAGCAGACACCGGCCCACCGCCATCTTCCTGCCTCCCCTCTCCCTCCTTCCCCCCAGATGCGCCCACCCCGAGGTGTGGCGCGTAAGGCAGACCCCACTGAAGAGGGGGCGCAGAGCCCCTGTGTGGCCAGCTCGCCACACACCTGTCCTGGCAGCCAAGGCTCTGGCCTTTCTGGGGTCCTGACGAGACTCTCCCGGGGCCTCTGGTGCTTCCGGCCTCCTCCGGGAGCTGTCCAGCCCGACTAGCCCCTCCCCGCTCCCCCGCCTGGCTGCCTGGGACGCGGGGTCCCCTCCCTGCCTGGAGCGCCTCCCCATGTCTGGGCCACCGTGTCTCTAAAGGCTGCCGTCTGGCCCTTGATAATTCCTCCTCCCAAAGAGACCTCATCTCCTGATTGATTTTTCAGCAGCTCTGGCTTTTCTCCCCCAAAATTGAAAAGGGTTTTACACAATTGGCAGATTATAAAAACAGGTCTATCAGGGTGATTTATCTTCTCAAGGGAAAAGCTCCCCCTCAACATGCAAGCAGTCACTGTGCTCCGCTTGCCTGGGGCCGGGCTGGGGGCTGGGCTGGGGTGGGGTGAGGGCGCATCCTTTCTCTTGTAGGAGGAAGAGAAACATCGCAGTCTCCAAATCCATGGGCTCAGCTTGTTCTGAATCCTCACAGGGCACCTGGGCGGGGTGGGGGGGCATGGCTGCAGCCTGCTGTTCCTGGGGTCTCACCTTCCAGACAAAGAAGCGCCCTCCAGCTCCTGGGTGACGCCACCCTCTCGAGGGTGGGCTAGCCCCCAGCCCGTGTTCCCAGCAGGGAATAGAACGGGGTCCTGAGGGGCAGGGCACCCCTACTTCCTCCCCAGGGTAGCCGGGCAGCCAGGATGGTATCAGGCAGCCTGCAAAACACTTGAGACACATTTTTCCATGAAATCTCCACCACGTGTTTTAAAGTAGGCCTCCACGAGGCCAGGTTGTGGGCCCAAGGCCAGACCCCAGGACACGGCTGCCGTCTTCTCTACAGCCAGTCTGATGGAGACACGACGTCCTCTCAGCTGCAGACAGAAGCTTTCTGGAGCCACCCGCCAGGGAGCAGCCGGCAGAGGCTCCCTTTCCCGGATCATCAGAGCACACTGCAGATAGAAATCGCTCCCAATGCACACGGCAGGCCCGGGGCAAAGTTGACTTCACGATTAGATAAATTATAAGCCATCCAATTTATCTGCCCATCTCTCTAATTAGCCTTCCCGCCCGCCCGTATCTGCCGCAGACACTGGGATCCGCACGTTTAATAAACGGAAGGGAATGAGGCTGCCCTAATCTCCCGGCAGCTGGAGATAAAAGATTCACCCTGTTTACTTGGGATTAGAGGGGAGCTTTGACCTTGAGCCGGGAGTTATTGTTTCCTGAGTCACTTTCAATTGGAAACATTGTTGTCTTTCAAAGGAACCGTTGGACTGAAGCTGTAAGGAGGCACAAACAATGCGTGGTCTGCTAGGAGGGCCCAGATAAATCCAGAGTTGCCTTATCGGAAGAAAATAACTCATTTCAAACTGTATTGCATCCGGAGACCAGCAACAATGTTTGCTAATCTCGTGGAGGTGCAGCCGGCTGATCTGGGGAGTGCGTGCTTTAGCAGTAATTAGATGCTTAGTAGGCTAATTATTTTGTGAATAAAATCAAATACAATCAAGTAATTAAACAACAGGCAGAGACCATCTAAAGCCCTGTCCAGAGCGCTGTTGGAAACCCGATTCCCTGGGTGCTTTATGGACAGAGGGGGTCTTCATCACTGTAGCATGTCTGTGACCTTAAACTGGAGGGGGTCCCTGAAAAACAAGACCAGGGACCCCAGTGTCCTGGGAAATTCTGGGCGAGCATCAGGTCACACAGGTCCCAGGAGGGATGGTCGTGTTCTCTGCCAGCCTGAGCCCCACAGATTTGCCTGTTTGTTGATGCCTGTGCAGACGCTCTGCTCATGGATGCCGGGGTCTGAAGGCAGCTACCTTCTCCCTGCCTCGCCCCACAGCTCCCCTGGGCCGCCTCCTTCTCGCTCCACGCTGGGAGCCCTGGAAGGACGGGGCAGAGTCAGGCCCTGCGGGACCACGCAGGAGCCTGGCCGACCTTCTGTGGACCTGACCCGGGGCGGAGGAGAGCAACTCTCACCACCTGCCCAGGTGAGGGGCATCGCTGAGGCCGGGCAGGCCTGCCGCCACTGTGTTCTGCTTTCTAACCCAGGAGAAACGAGCTGATCCTCCCTAGAAGACCCTCTGCTCTTTAGTTTCCTCATTCATGGGATCAGCTTAGCCTTTACTCAGCAACCGTTTACCTGGGGTGGGTCTGGGGACCCAAGGCTGACAGGTGTGGCGTTTTCTCTTAAGATGCTAAGTACCCAGTGGGGACCAGGGGTTGACACAGTTGTTTGGTAAAGTGCATATTAAATGAGTGCTCTTAGCTGTTAAGTCGTGCCTGACCCTTTGTGACCTCATGGACTGTAGCCCGCCGGCCTCCTCTGTCCACGGGGTTTCCCAGGCAAGCGTACTGGAGTGGGTAGCCATTTCCTTTTTCTGGGGATCTTCCCAACCCAGCGACTGAAACTGCATCTCCTGCATTGCAGGCAGATTCTTTACCGCTGAGCCACCAGGCAAGACCACACATTAAAGGTTAGTGAGGGTTAATTCTGTGCTGTTAATTCGGCAGCTAAGTCGTGTCTAACACTGCGACCCCAAGGGCCAGACTTCCCTGTCCTTCACCATCTCCTGGAGTTTGCTCAAACTCATGTGCATTGAGTCGGCGATGCCATCCAAGCTCATCTGTTAATTCTATAGAGATCAGATAATCCTGTAAAGAGGCAGGATGTAAGTATTTCACAGGCTGTGCGGTCTCTGTGACGCTCACTCAGCTCCGCCCTCTTAGCGCATAAGAAGCCACAGACAATGAGGAAACAAACGGACAAGGTCGGTTGCCAATAAAGCTTTATTAGTAACAAGCAGAGCCCTGGATGTGGCCTTTGGGTTATCCTTTGTTGCCCCAGATGGAGATGGTAACCAACTAGGGCCAACTGGTCAAGTCCACCCTCCTCTTCGGGCGGAGGGGCTTCACACCCTCAGGTGTCATCTGCCCTCATCACTGAAGATGGCTTGGCTCTGAGCCCTTGGCCCGGGACCCGTAGACATGCCAGCCTCCGCACACGGGCTCCCAGCCACAGGAGAGCCAGGCCAGCCCTCCTCAGTGGTGAGGGCGCAGGGGACTCTCCCCAGAAAGACTGTCAGCCTCCAACAGCGTCAGTGGATTTATTATCTTACCTGGAAATGAGGAAACAAGTCACTTCAAACACTTGTCACGGAGCTCCTGTCCTTTCTAGGAGGCAGAGGAGCAGATGGTTAAGGCCAGTGACATTCAAGTTCTGATACTGCGCTCATGGTCCAGGGGTTAAGAATCCGCCTTCCGAAGCAGGGGACACAGGTTTGATCCCGGGTCTGGGGACTAAGATCCCACATGCCAGGGGGCAAGTAAGCGCGCAGGCCACAACCAAAATCCCACGCAGACAAATAAATAAATAAAATTTTAAGAAAGGTTAGAATCCCACAGAGCAGTTCCTTGCACTCAGCCATTTACCGGACTTCTCCAAAATCTCAGTGTTTACATCTGTTTGTAGAGGTGAAGCTCAGGAAAGATCGGTGCAGGTGTTCAATGAGACAATGACTGTGAAATGCTCTTCCTGGGGCCCCCTGAAAGGAGAGCTCTTATCCACTCACCATTCCCAGCGGCCAACCCCGCTCGGGAGGAACCCACGTGGCGTGAGATGTACAGGCAGATCCACCACCCACAAAGGCGGCATCTTCAAGCCTCTTTCTCTGCAAAAATCTAAGGCTTGAAATCACAGCCTCACAGGAGAACAACTGCTAACTCTAGCATCAACTGCACACGCAGAAACTTGGCACTTGGGGTGCGGGGAGAGGAGTCTGGCCAGGCACCCTAAAATAGGAGATTATGTTCAATCCTGGCCCAAAACACAGACGCCACGTTGGTACAGGTACAGCTGTCTGCTTTCATACAGTCTGGCAAGTCTGGAAAATAAGCACACCACCCCTCCTCCAGTCTGGGAGGGGCTGAGGAATCCGATTAAGCCATGTCCTCAGAGTGGGGCTGTTCCAACCGGGGTAAAGTGGATTTGGAAGGTACAGCATCCTGGCTGGTAAAATGCGGGGTGGGGGAGGGCATTCATTCACTTCAAACTGGCTTTAAACGTTGTCTGCTCTTTAATTAGATTCCGCTTTATGAAGTTATCCTTTGCGCCTGGGGAGCATGCCCACCCCTCCCATCCCAGACGGCGGGCAGGCAGAGTGGCTGGTTCACTGAGGCTCTCGATCTGGGCTGGGCTCCGGGTCGGGCAGGCAGGGACCAACTCACAGTTGGCACCGAGGCCTGGGCTGTGTCGGCTCCAGGGACCCGAATCAAGAAAAGCAGTGTCTGAGCGGTGCCTGGCCCCCAGGTGCCCACCAGCCTTAGCTTCTCCCGCCCCTTCCCCTCCTTCCTCCCCACCTCGGAGGTCTCACCAGCCCTGCTTGGGGCAGGGGCCCAGCAGAGAGCATAAAGGGCCAAACCCAGCACACAGGGAGGGTTCCCTTCCAGAGGAGGGGCAGGCCGTGAAGAAGTGACGCAGAGAGCCCGTGGCTCTGTAGCCGTGGTCAGTGGGGGCGAAGGGAGGTGCGCAGTGAGGGGAGCGGAAACGGGAGGGCCGCGGCTAAATTCCAGGCCTGGACAGGTGAGGGGGGCCTTCCCAGAGGGTGGATGTTGGTGGATATGCAAACAACGAGAGGAAATGGCCCTGGGGGGGACGGCAAGAGAGCAGAGGCCCTAAGGCACCTCCAGGACCTGAGGTTGCTGGGGGAGGGGCGGGGAACCCAGAGCGGAGCAGGTGAGGGGGATCGAGTTTTCCTGGAGCGAGAGCGCCAGCCTCGCTCGGGGGACAGGAACGTCCCCCGAGTCACAGTTCCCAGGGTCACTCGGTGGTCGGAGGTCGTCCAGGGGCGGGCTCTGGAAAACCACCAGTGGGCAGCATGCGGCCTCACCCCTCTCCCACCCTTGACCCTTGACCCCTCCCCACCCCCCGCCACCCCAGAGGCTCCCCAAGGTGCCGGCTTCAGACCTCTGATTTATGGCACCTGGGGTCACAGTGAATGGCGGCTGCCTGTCCATACCCTGGATGCCTGGCTCCTGCAGCTGACCTTCCTGACCCCCGTGTGCACCTGTGTGCACTTACGTGTGTGTGCATGTGTGTTTCTATGTGTATGCACGTGTGCAGTCATGTATGTGTGAGTGTGCATGTGTGTGCACATGTATATATGTGCCTGCATGAGAACTTGTGCGTGCACACACCCATACAAGCCTGTCCATATTGTGTGTATGGCTACCAGGCCAGGGGTTAGCTAGCAAAGCGCTTTCCCATGCTGTGTGGTCAGTGAGCGGCCCTTGATCCCAGAGGGGACGGTAAGCCCCGGGCCGGGTAGAGATGGTGACCTCCCGGGGAAGCCGACCCCCAAGGCTGACCCCCACACACCGCTTATACTCCGGGAAGCCCCGAGAAGGGCAGAAGGTGAAGTGCCAGCATGAGGCAGAGAAAAAGAACCAGACTCGCCACCTCTGCACTCGAGGAGGGGAAGGAGAGGTGCGTGTGGGCCCCGGAGCTGCAGCCACGCCGCCCTGACCCAGCCCGGGACCAGCTGAGCTGGTGCGACCAGCCCTGTGGACGGTCTGCCTCTCAGAGAGAAGCCCCGGCCCTGCGGAGACCGTGGTGACGAATGGCTGCAGCAGCCCAGCCTGCCATCCGGTGACCCCAGAGGGGCAGCTCAGGGCCACCCCTGCCTGACCCACAGCCCCCAGGAGAGCCCCTCCCCTGCGGCCTGCACGCAGGGTCTGCCCTGGCTATGCAGGAAGGCCCTAAGGGCTGTTCCTAACGATCACAAAGCAGGCTTTCACCAAAGCGTCTGCTGATGGGATGCCCTCCATCCAGGATAATCAAAGTCAGAGAGGAGCGGCCCAACCCCAGAGCCCCCGCCTGAAATCTGCAAATCACCCCCACCTCCTCACCCGGAGAGCATCCCCACGGGCCGTGGGGAGACAGCGCCCACCACCCCAGGAGACTGCAGGGAGAGCGGCCTCCTCGGGCTCTAAGGGGTTGGAAAGCGACCTCCACCCGCTCTGCTGAGGCCTGGCCCAGGCTTGCAGCTGCTGGTCCCTATACTGTGGGGTGGGGGCTCTCCCAAACCTGCGCCCCCCAACGCAGGACCCCTGGAGACAACCTGGGCCCTGCCCTGGCGGGGAGCTCTCAAACCTCCAGCACAGAACGCACTGCTCAGAAAAGAACAATAAGATCAGGTCTCCGGCGGCGGGGGTAATGCAGTTGTCAGACTCCCAGGACAGAGGGAGGCTGAGAAGCAATAAAAATGTTCTAGGGCCAGAGCTGCGAGGCCATTGCGGGAGGATCTGGATGGGAAATCAGAGACTCCCCTGATGCCACTCTCTGAAAACAAGATGGTAAAACACACAAAATGTCTAACACTAATGTGGACACAGAGGCTGAGTGTTTAAGGTCTTAATTATCTCCTGTCAGACCTATGGGGTGGCTTGCAGGTGACCCCATCCAAGGGCACTATTCTCCAGGTGTGTCCTGAATGGGTCTCTGTCCAGCGCTGGGTGGGAGCCTGTCCTTAGCACGTCAGGAGCTGTGACAAGCACCATCTCAAGGACACACACCCTGGGAGATGCCAGGACTCCCATACCCCTGGTCCCTCAGTGAGGAACCTCCCCGAGGACAAGAAGGCGCAGTGCAGCCCCCAGGACCCCCTGGAATCCTGCTCTTGACAATGGGACTTCCCGGAGCACCCAGAGCCCTCTGGGGAAGGCTCACAGACAGAGAAGCTCACTAGCCCCTTGCTGGGGACGGTCCCTGCCCGTGAGCTGGCCTGGGACACTGCTCTTGGCCCTTTCCAGGGCGGGGAACAGCCGGGATGCGGGAACAGCCGGGACGCGGGAACAGCCGGGACGCAGGACCGACTGGCTCTGTCAAGGTGCACAGCTGAGTGGTGGTCCCCAAAGACACGTCCCCCCGAAAACCTGTAAAGGTGGTTTTGTTTGAAAAATGGGGTTTGCAGATGTAATCCAGTGAAGGCTCTGGGTGAGGCC